GCTCCGCCTGGTTCCCCGGTCGCTCGCTCGGTCCGCCCCCACCGGCTCTCGGTGCGAGTCATCTCCTTCCGCGCAGACGTGCGGGAGGGACTCCGTCTCCAACGAAGGGACCCGTTTCCCAGGTGGGTGGAAGCCACAAAGACCGAGCCTTTGGGATCGGAAAAGGGCTCCCAGAACCTCTTGCCGCCACAGCAGGAAGGAAGTGGGATGGTTTCAATAATGAAGAGTTGGGGGGACTAGACTGCTGACTGGGCTACTTTGAGAATTTTACTTCCGAGTGGTGGGACTTAAGTGGGACCACCTGCCCTACACTTTAGAGAGAGGAAAGGGAAGGGAGAGAGAAAGCGAGCACTGGAGAGACACATCTGTTCCACTATGGATGCCCTCAGTGGTTGATTCTTGTAGGTGCCTGACCCGGGATGGAAGCGGCAACCTGCCTGGGGGGTCCACGCTCTAACCAAATGAGCACCCCACTAGGGCACACTTCATATATATTATATATTTTGTTAATTTTTTACAGAGAGGAAGGAGAGGGATAGAGAGTTAGTGACCGGAATCGAACCTTGGACCCTTGAGTCCGCAGGCTGATGCTCTATCCACTGAGCCAAACCAGTTAGGGCCAGGGCACAGTTTAAAAGTATTTGTATTGATTTCAGAGAGGAAGGGAGAGGGAGAGAGATAGAAACATCAATGATGAGAGAGAATCATTGAGGGGCTGCCTCCTGCACGCCCCCTACTGGGGATCAGCCCGCAACCCAGGCATGTGCCCTTGGCAGGAATGGAACCTGGGGACCCTTCAGACCGCAGGCGGTCGCTCTATCCACTGAGCCATACCGGCTAGGGCGAGGGCACACTTTTTAAAAAAAGACATCGCAAATGCCCCCTCACTTTGGCCTCTAGGGTAACAAGCTGACGAGTTGCAAAGGGAAATCCACACTTTCTTATGCTTCAGGTTACTTATCTGTAAAAGGAAAACAGCTCAACTAATGGGACTATCATTTTTATCTTTTTCCCCCCTGGATCCTTCCTCATCTGCAGTCCTTAGCAGCGGTTCTTAACCTGTGGGTCACGACCCCTTTGGGGGTCAAATGACCCTTTCACAGGGGTCTCCTAAGACCATCGGAAAACACATATATAATTACATATTGTTTTTGTGATTAATCACTATACTTTCATTATGTTCAATTTGTAACAATGAAATTGGGGGTCACCACAACATGAGGAACTGTATTAAAGGGTCACGGCATTAGGAAGGTTGAGAACCACTGCTTTAGAGATACGCTGTTTGCAGACACCTGTAAGGTTTGCCTCGATGAGGAAGCTAGCCTAAGCCAAGCAGGCAGGGCTTGAGAAATGATGAAGCAATCTCAAGTGATGGAACAAACCTTCCTTTTGTGCGTTGTTTTGTTTTTTCAGTGACTTACTACAACCGGGGGGTGGGGGGGCGATTTTTCTAAAATTGGATATATATCCAGAGGTCTTCGGTTGGATTCCCAGTCAGGGTGAAGGGATTTGGGCTTGCTCCCTAGTAGGGGGTGAGCAGGAGGCAACTGATCTATGTTTCTCTCTCTCTATTCCTCTCCCTCTGTCTCTAAAATCAATAAAAACATTTTTTAATATATTTTATTGATTTTCCACAGAGAGGAAGGGAGAGGGACAGAGAGCCAGAAACATCGATGAGAGAGAAACATCGATCAGCCTCCTCCCGCACATTAAAAAATATCTAAAAATAAAAAGGTATGAATGCCTTTTATTTTTAAAACTTTATTTTGATATTTTTAAAAATATATTTTATTGATTTTTCAGAGAGTAAGGGAGAGGAATAGAGAGTTAGAAACATCTATCAGCTGCCTCCTGCACACTCCCCACCTGGGATGTGCCCGCAACCAAGGTACATGCCCTTGACCAGAATCGAACCTGGGACCCTTGAGTCCACAGGCTGACACTCTATCCACTGAGCCAAACCAGCTAGGGCTATTTTGATATTTTTTTATTGATTTTTAGATAGAGAGGGAAAGATAGAGACTTCGATGACACATTGCTCACCAAACTCCAGAAACTAAAAAAATACTTTTTGCTATTGTTTTAGCAGTCTGTAATAGAAGCCACTCCTATGGGTATAATTGTCTCCCCCTTACATCCTTTCAAATCATTCAAAATGAGTGAAGGCAGGAACAGTAAAGGAGAGAGAATCCCGGATGATAAACTACCATATTTCACCCTTCCCACCAAAATAGATCCTCATGGACACTGCTCTAAATAGTTTTCACATTGCCCATTTCTATTGGGTGCGTGGAGTGAGAGGACCAGTCAGTGGACTTCTTTGGTCTAAGACCCATCTGAAGGAAAGAGATTCACATCTCGGTGCTTGACAGGAAAAGGTTCTGTTACTAAGGAAACAGAATTATAAACGATTGTCCTGCCCCACAAAAAAGGTCAAATATTGCAGATCAAGTTAGAGAACTCTGCAAGGATCGGCTTGGTTTCTATTAGGAGAAACACGAGAGGAAAGCAAAAATGCACCACTTGGAAAATAGTCCTAGGTGATTTATTTTTTTGAGAGGGGGGTAGGGGTGCACGGGAGACATGGATTTGTTGTTCCACTTATTTATGCATTCACTGGTTGATTCGTTTATGTGCTCTGACCCTGGATGGAACCCCAACCTTGGTGTATTAGGACATCGCTCTAACCAACTGAGCTACCTGGCAAGGGCACATTTTAATTTTTAAACTTCATTTAATTTTTTTCAAATTATAAGAGAATTTTTTTAGAAGTTACATAGATGTGAGCCAGTTGGGCTGGGCAGGCTCAGGAAACAAGTTATAGAACCAAAGAACCCTTGAAGTGGTTCTCAACCTTCTGGCCCTTTAAATACAGTTCCTCATGTTGGGACCCAACCATAAAATTATTTTCATTGCTACTTCATAACTGTCATGTTGCTACTGTTCTGAATCGTAATGTAAATATCTGATATGCAGGATGGTCTTAGGCAACCCGTGAAAGGGTCGTTCGACCGCCAAAGGGGTCGCGACCCACAGGTTGAGAACCGCTGGCTTAGAGGGAAAAGCAAAAGTAACACACTTGGGGGAAGAGGGGAATGGGAAAGATGCTGGCGTGCTTCGGACAGGGAGAGCCAGACGCCACTAACATTTTTTTGAAAATCCTCACCTGAGGATATGTTGTATTGATTTTTTTGTTTTGTTGATTTTTGAAAGAGAAAAAAAACACCCACCGGTTGCCTCTTGTTTGCTCCTTTACTGGGTATCAAACCCGCAACCTAGGTTTGTGTCCTGACTGGGATCGAACCCATAACCTTTGGGTGCATGGAACTACACTCCAATACTGAGCCACCTGGCCAGGGCACATCCCTGTTTTTACAATGCTATCGTTTAGAAGAGAATTTTACAGATACTCTCTCTTGGTGTTGATATACCTGTGAGGTAGGTAGAGAAAATTACTATCCTTACTTTGTAGAAGGAACAGAACAGAGACTCAAAGAGGTTAAGGACTTGCCCTAAGTCAAAGGATTTGTTATTGGTTTTGTTGGCACTAAAAACCAGGTTTTATTTCCCAGTCCAGCACTTGTTTCAGCGTTGCTAAGTGCCCAGGCAACGCAGACAAAATTGGAGAGCTTAGTGGTTTTCCAATGTGATAGTTAACAACATTCTCTTCTCTCTGTCCTCTGATTCCTAGAAGATAATGGTGTCCTCTAACTCAAGAGGAGGACTTCAGGGAGTAGCCGATCAATAACAGATAGAGTTCTAAAAATAGAAATATTTTAAAAATAACTGGCAACAATTACAGGATTCTTGTCAAGGCCAACTCTTTTGAAGGAAAAGCATTTAAGTGATTTTTATTGAACAGAAAAAACATTCCTATGGGCTGATACTGTTGTAGAGAAACCCGAGAAAAGTAAAGGCGGCACTCTGAGATTTTTGTCAATGAGTTTAATATATGTCCATAGGTTACCATTCATATGAATGCTTAAATTACAAAATTAGCTGCCATGGCCCAAATGTGTGGGACTTTAAGAAAGCTTTTATTAAAGATAGCTAAGCATATCAATTTTGATTTCTAAAATGTATTTTAAAGGTTTGTAAAACAAGGCTAATTCTAGAATTATATAGCATTAAGTTTGTTATTTTTAATAACTTAATTTCATGAACTGTTTTAAAAAATTACATTTGCATTTCCCAGCTGACACATTTCTGCATTAACTAAGAGAAAAACCCATGTGAAAAGTTTCCATGCAGTTTCAAAGGCAGCAGCACATTCTGTTTCCACAGCAACTTGTTATTGCCTCAGAACACACCTGCACATAAAGCATCAGCAAAAATATACCCGCCCACCCGTCACCCACCAAAAAACCCAACCCTTTCCCATCCCCAGCAAAAATTACCTGGTGAAGCAGTGACTTAAAAAAATGCTTTCTTACTAGGAAGCATTTATAAAATGCAGAAATCTGAACAAGCTAAATGCTCGTGCAGATGAATGGGCCTCCCCCGCAAGAGTTCCTTTCTCAAGAGCAGGGGTGGGGATCGTCTGGCCCAAGGATTGTATAAGGCCCATGAAATCATTTGGTCTGGTCCTGCTAGGCATTAGGGATGAGTTAATTAAGTGCCTGATCAAATATAGCATGATAATTTTAAATATATATATTTTTATTGATTTTAGAGAGGGAGAGGGATAGAACCATCAATGATGAGAGAGAATCATTGATCAGCTGCCTCCTGCACACCCCATACTGGGAATCAAGCCCGCAACTCTGACTGAAATCAAACCTTGGGACCCTTTAGTCCGCGGGCCAACACTCTATTCACTGAGCCAAACTGGCTAGGACAGCATGCTAATTTTTAAGTTGATAATTTTGTATGGCCCAAGAACGACATTATAAATATCCAAATGGCCCTTGGCAGAAAAAAGGTTCCCCACCCATGCTCAAGAGGCAGAAAGAACTCTCAATAGTTTAGGAAAGCTCATTTTTAAAAGTGTATTTATGCATATTCATGGCTATTTCTCTGAAAAAACATACCCAGCCTCAGCTGTGGAAGAGATAAAAGCAGGAGAAGCAAAGGGACACAGCCACAACACAGAGAAGAGAACTTCTCCACGAACATCCAATAGGTGAGGCAACCAAGAAGGAAAACATCTTCGACTTCACGTAGACCACTGATCTGCTCTAGGTGAAGCAGGTAATTTTTCATGCATTTAACTCAAGAAAAACATACAACCACTTAAAATACAGCATTCACAATGTCATTAGCTTATGGTATCAGGTAAGGAGAAAACTGTGCTCCTGTACTATCTGTAGAATTTTCCAGTACATGTCAGTACCCTAAAATCTGGATACCCTATAATACTGTCATCAGCACCCTCCACCTACAAAACAGAGAGAGTGAACTACACTGTTCTGAGTCCCTGAAATTTCAACACCACAGATAGTGTTCTAAGTTTTATTTTTTTACAAGTTTAATGTAGACACACAAGAAAATAAGCAATGTTTATTGTTATTTGTGGAATCTTGGTTTAGGGTCATTCTTTATAGCCATTTCAACTGCCTAGTTTAAACAAAAAGCAATAATCTAATTGTTTATCTATAAATTCATGATATTTTTTCAAATATAATAGCACTAAAAGCACTGATGATTCATGTTATAATTTTAAAAGAATTTTAAAACTACAGAGTTCATGTATCATTCCTTTTGTAAAATAATCAAAATAATGTGATTATCTGGAAGAAATTACTGAAACAGAGTCCTTCCAATGTATTTCTAACTTCTGTAAATTCCAAACCAAAAACAGAACAGATGATGATAAGGATTTCTAAGTCATTGGGAGTGTTTAAACTTTCCGATGAGAAATGGACTGATATTTTTAACGCTCCCTGTGAATACAGAGCTTATAGGTGGCAGCAGGACTCAGATCTCTGGGATGACTTTACATGGCTTTCACCTTGATTTGTTTCATTTTCATTTGCTTCTTTTCCAATTTCTTTTGCTCACGTCTCAAGGCAGCTTCCTAGAGAGACAGACAGACAGACAGACAGAGATAATCCAAACTAAGCTCTAAGCACAGATTTTTAAAAAATCAAAACTAGAATACTGCCTATAACATTATTCAAAAACCTAGACTTGCACTATAGATAACATTCCAGAAGATAGTTATAAAAATTGCTAATATCTACATTGGTTAACAAAAATTAACTTGAAATGAAGCAAAGGTAACTACAATATCAAATCAGAAACTAAATACTATATTTAAGTTGGCTTTGTTAGTCTGGTCTGATTTTTCCTATACCCAGGAAACACTAGGTCCACTTTTAACATAACAACTATATGAATTTACCAAGGATTTGTACTTCATTTCAGAAAAGCATAAGATCTTTTTCTTAAAAAATTTGAGAGAAACATCAATTTGCTGTTCTGCTAATTTATGCACTCATTGGTTGATCCCTGTATGCACACTAAACATATATAGAGTTGGGGAACTAAATAAGCTATATTTAGTTATAAGCTAAAAGGTAACAGGGGTTACCTTTAGGCATGAGAGTTGTGTAAAGGATTATGTTATTTTTACATGGTAGAATTAAGGTTAGGTCATTTCTGACTTAAGTTCTGGGCCCTCCTTTTTCTTAAACCTATTGTAGTTTCAAACCCTGGAAAGAACTAGAAAACTTTTTTCATTGAAAAATGAAAGGCATTATCTATTAATGATTCCATGTAGATTGCTCCAGTATATTAATTAAAAAGCCATTTTTATTTATACAGAAGGTTGCATAAACACAGAGCTCTGTTTTCAGAGGAAAAATTCCCATAAACTAAAGAAAAAATGATGAGAAATGATAAGATGGGAGGAGGCCTGTGGTATCCTGGGCACTTGGCTCAACAGCAAAAATGACTATACAGGCAACTAAAGTGCCACATCACCCAGAACTTTGTTCTCCTCCTCTTTTTCTGATCAGCATTTATAAGATTTAAAATTTTAGAGCTGGACTATGGTATCTTATTTCACAAAAATGTGAGAACATGCTGGTATCTGAAACATAATATACCACAGTCTAAAAAGCTCTTAAGTTTGCCCTGACCAGTTTGACTCAGTGGATAGAGGGTCGGCCTGCAGACTGAAGGGTCCCAGGTTCGATTCCGGTCGAGGGCATGTACCTTGGTTGCGGGCACATCCCCAGTAGGGGGTGTGCAAGAGGCAGCTGATCGATGTTTCTAACTCTCTCTCCCTCTCCCTTCCTCTCTGTAAAAAATCAATAAAATATATTTTAAAAAAAATAAAAAGCTCTTAAGTTTGAAAATTTAGTTATGTACAAAATAGACACCAAAAATACAAAAAAATAATGTAAGTCTCTAATTCTATAATGAAATTAGAAATGTTATAAAACAAGTTTATTTGAACCATAGGGTACATGTGCTGGCTTCTATTAAAATTCCTACTTTCTACTTCAGTAAGTATTTGGCTTGAAAGATGATAGTTTAACTTGCAAAATGAGATTGTGCAGGGGGAATAGGGTAATTCATATCATTCTCCAGGATCAGACTCACTCTACCATGGTTTGAAGCCCTGTTCTTCAAGTGCCACTAACTAACCGAAGGTCCCAAGTACTGAGAAAATGCTAAACTTTTAGCCTGTGTACATTCCTCCACAAAATCACCTTAAGAGCCAATCTGGCACAAATAGGTATCCTTACAAATCTTAGTTTTTACCCCGGTAATAAGGAAAGTTGGTCTTACCTCGAGCCTGCGCTGTTTCTCAGGATCTTCCTCATTCATGATCCGCTCCTTCTCTGCTCTTTTCTTCTCTTCACGCCGGGACTGTGCAGCTTCCTGTCTTTGCACATGTGTCAGCTTCAAGAATTTCTCTTCCACTCTAGCTCGGTTCTTATCTGCTTTTTGTTTGCCCTTTCCCCAAGAAACAAAGAGTTTCATAAGAAATCCATTTTAATTCAACAGAAGCAAAAGCCCATTTAGTATTCTTTCATAAAACTATACCCATTTAGCACTTTCAAGTAAAGTAGCAAAGATACAATCACTGAAATCCTCGACAGATGATTCCCCCAGAGGAAAAAAAATAACAGGTGCCAACTTATGATAAAGGCTGCAGTCTTACTTCTCTGTTGAGTCGGAACTTTTTGGCTTTGTCAATAGAGTAAATCACCATGTTCATCAGGGGTAGCAAAGCTTCCATATCCTTTGGGTAAGTGTTACCTGAGCCAGGCACTGGAAAACAAAGCCATTTCCTATTGAGTTAACAGAGCATTAATACTTCTCAGTCGTCAATTCCCTCTCTCTTTTTAAATTAATAAACTCCTTTTTTCTTAGGCAGCTAAAATGCAACAGAAAATATAAAGTATATTCAAGGATCTCTTATTGAAGAAACCCAACAGAAATAAGAAGACATGAGGTTTGTTTTAATATAGTTTGTTTTTTAATGTATTTTTATTGATTTCAGAGAGGTAGGAGAAAAGAAAATCATTGATTGGCTGCCTCCTACCCGCCCCTCACTGGGGATCGAGCCACAACCCAGGCATGGGCCCTGACCATTGAGCCACACCGGCCAGGCATGCACAGCTCCTTGTTGGAGGATGGAGTCAGTCGTGAGATGCCCCACACTGGGGATTGAGCCCGCAACCCAGGCATGTGCCCTTGACCAGAATTGAACCTGGGACCCTTCAGTCCGCAGGCTGACGCTCTATCCACTGAATCAAACCAGCTACGGCTAACAATATAGTTTTTTTAAAAAAAAATTTTATTGACTTTTTTTACAGAGAGGAAGGGAGAGGGATAGAGAGTTAGAAACATCGATGAGAGAGAAACATCAATCAGCTGCCTCCTGCACACCCCCTACTGGGGATGTGCCCGCAACCAAGGTACATGCCCTTGACCGGAATCGAACCTGGGACCCTTCAGTCCGCAGGCCGACTCTATCCACTGAACCAAACGGGTTAGGGCTAATATAGTTTTTTTTATAGCTGTCACTTAGGAGGGAACAATACTTTCCTTAAGGTCATCTCTCAGAAAACAAAGAACCCAGACAGGACATGGGATACTTACCATTAAATGTAAACAGTAGTGTCCTCTTAGTTTCAGGTAGCTTTAAAGGCTGACCTTCTCTGTCATGAAAGAAAAGGCTATTTAGAAAGAACACAAGATATTCTCTCTACGCATATAAATTACCCAGTTCACTTAGATGAATAGATACCTACAATTAATCAGCATAGTATTTGGCTTGGCATCCCATAGTCAAATATAATCTCAGAGCCTGAAGGAGCTTTACAGGTCACCTGATCCACTTGCCTAACTGATGAATGCATTCCAAAGTGACCTTTATCCTATACTTGAACACCTCCAAGTGATATCCCCTCCAGGCAAGATATATTCCATCTCACCTGGGGAACCAGAAATAAGCCTACATTTAAGTAAGAGGCCCATATTTTAAATAACATTTCTAATTGTACTCAACTCCACAGCCTATGAGAGAGTAACCCTTAATCAAAAATTTAGGCCAGAACCATTTCTACACCAAGGGTAAACTTAAATAAGTATGTTCTCCTGAAATGGGAACATACAACAAATCGTAATTCAAACAACAAATTCAAGCTCTGAATACGTACATTTGAAATATATTACTATAAATATTACTATGGGTATTTAACGTATTTGATAATATACTAGGAAAAAATATAAGCATCCACTATACAAAAACAGAAGCCAGAAAAGGCCAGATTTGCAATCAATCAAACATTACAGATTCATATCATAAAATGAAAAAGGAAAAAAAAGAACATAGACTACAAAGGACAGAGAGTAGCAATTGCATTTTCTTATGTGAGCCATTTTGTAAGATTCTCTTCCACGTCACTGAGTGCATGGTGCACTCTTACTTTGACATGTGCAGCAACACATGCAACCTGGGGAGGCTTGTTTATCTCCCATAGGTTTCCAACTACCTTCCTGATGCATGTAGTCAAAGCAAAAGGAAACTTGGGAGTCATGAACTTCCCTCACTCATATGGCAAGGGAAATTGCAGAAGCATCTTGCAGGTGTTTCAACACAGAAAGCTAAAGAAGAAAATCATATTCAGTATTTTTTATTTCATACGTACTCTTGCATAATTTTTGGACCCGAGAACTGGTCTGAAAAATGAACGGATTCAATCTTGTCAGCGTAGTGTGTAAGAAAGTGGACCATCTGAAATAGAGAAAATTATTATATTTTAAAGTAGGGTGTGATGTATTTCCCTTTTTTCATAAAGATATTTACTCTTCAGTCCTCCTTGCTGTTGTACAATGTCATTAAGGCTAAAGCTTTTAAAAAATTAAATTTAAATAAGGTAAGGAATTTCTCTATAATGAAACTTGTACCTTTTCTTTAGTAACACCAATGCTTAAATATTCTTATTGAGCAGCTGAAAATATGTCTCAAACTAATGTTCTAAATAAGAATAAAAGCATGGAGATAAAATCTTAAATAATTTTAGGAGATTCTTCATGAACATATCACCTTGAACTTACATTTATAACTGTCTTTGAGCTAGCCTACATTTTTATGATATTAAGATGTACTGTTACCATTATACAACCAATAGAAAAAAATCATGGCTCTCTATACATCCCTCTTCTCTTACACTAGTTGAAACTAAAATAATGGACTAAATGACATGGTGATAAAGATAAAAGTTGTAGTCCTTTATTAAAAAAAAAACTAAAAGCCATCAGCAATCCTAGGAACAATTTGCTCTGGATTTAGAGAGCATTCTTCACTAAACAATTTTTTTTGACAAGTTAATCTATTGCTTAAAGAAAGAATTAGAGTGTTTTTGGGAAAGGAACACATAATCAATACATTGTCATAAATAAAGAACTCGTACAGCAGTGGTTCTCAACCGTCCTAATGCCGTGACCCTTTAGTACAGTTCCTCATGTTGTGGTGACCCCCAATTTCATTGTTACAAATTGAACATAATTAAAGCATAATGATTAATCACAAAAACAATATGTAATTATATATATGTTTTCGATGGTCTTAGGCGAGCCCTGGTAAAGGGTCGTTCGACCCTCAAAGGGGTCACGACCCACAGGTTGAGAACCGCTGTTGTACAGTGTGAGTTTTAGGGAGAGTACCTTGCAAATGCCAAGGTCTGCAAATATATGCCTTCCATCATACTTACCTTTGTATCCATCATTCCCTCTGTGACTTCTCCCATCTCTGACAGGATGGCTAAGGAGTCTGGCAGTCCATACTTTGCGCCAGACTTAGGTTTGTCACTACAAAACTCACTCTAGAGGAAGAAGTAATTGAAAGTAAGATGTGACATTTTATTATGCACAGATGTTTTCTTCTCAAGAGAATATGTACTGACCTATTTCAAAGTGATTAATTATGCTATGCTCTGAAGCTGAACATCTATGTAATAATTAGGCACAATTTCTATGTATGTTTGAGTTGTAATAGTCAACATACCAGATCCTGCATCTCTTTCTGCAGTCGTACCAGGGCTTTCCGAGTACCAATAGCAAACACATAGGTATCCATGTCTTCATCATTCATGGTTACTTTTATTTGCTATTAAAACAAAAACAAAAACCACACAAAACTCACCTGTTAGGTTCTGTGATAGGCCTATTTCTAAGATGGCCCTGAAGATTCCCCTGGTGTATATGTACATACTCCCCTTGAATGGGAACAGGACTTGTGAAATGATGGGATATCACTCCCATGACTGTTGTGTTATGTAGCAAAAGGTCCCTAATCAGCTGACTTTGCTATTAATCAAAAGAGACATTATCGCCGAAACCGGTTTGGCTCAGTGGATAGAGCGTCGGCCTGCGGACTGAAAGGTCCCAGGTTCGATTCCGGTCAAGGGCATGTACCTGGGTTGCGGGCACATCCCCAGTAGGAGATGTGCAAGAGGCAGCTGATCGATGTTTCTCTCTCATCGATGTGTCTAACTCTCTATCTCTCTCCCTTCCTCCCTGTAAAAAATCAATAAAATATATTTAAAAAAAAAAAAAAAAAAAAAAGAGACATTATCCAGGTGACTGACCTAATCACACGCACCTCCACCCACAGCTCCACACTGAGTGGACAATGATCTGTGCAAATAGAGAAGGGCCCATTTTCTGACAAAGTACACAAGTTGTCCGTAACTCCAAACGGAATCTAAACAATAAATGGAATAAGCTCTAAGAAATTAAGAATTCAATCTGTACAGAGAAAAACACCAAGAAGAATACATACCACTTGATCACTTGCTGGCCTCATCATACGGGCCAGGACGTTCAGTAAGTCCTGTCTCTTGAGAAACTGGAAAAAAAAAAAAATAGAGAACAGCTATAACCTCCACTTACTACAAAGAAGAGAGCCTGGAGGGGGAATCAGATGTATCAAATATACTTGACATTTGCCAGTTAGCAGCAGAAGATGACTTTTAGACCTCCTTGAAGACACTAAATTTAGAGGATTTTGAATCATGCTGGAAAAAACAAAAGATAGACAAATACGTTTTACCAGAAATTCCCTACTTACCCTGAGCTGGATAAGCATCCCCTCACAGCACACTCTACCAGAACACCACAGGTTGTAGATATGCTCGTTCTCCTGGTTCAGCTTTCCTGTACTTGTGGCTTCTTTGTTCGTTCCATCATCCCCTAGGAGTAAACCACTTAATGTGATTCCCCTAAAAGTGTTGAGGCCTAATTACCACTCCCTCCTCCACTCTGACCCCACAATGATCAGAGTTTTAGGATGGCAATACTTTGAGATCATATAGAACTCTCCTTTGAACATACATGACAACAAATGGGCATTGTTCCTTTTACTTTTAAAACTCTATTGTCTCCATAAAAAAATCATACTCTAGCATTACTACTATGTTCTTGTTAGTTAGACAGTCAGCTTCAGTATAAGTTTCTTAAGAGTAGATAAAAAATGGAGCAAAATCAGTTTAAATGTTTTTCCCCAAAGTTAAAAATACTGCCCTAACCGGTTTGGCTCAGTAAATAGAGCATCAGCCTGCGGACTCAAGGGTCCCAGGTTTGATTCCGGTCAAGGGCATGTACCTTGGTTGCGGGCACATCCCCTGTAGGGGGTGTGCAGGAGGCAGCTGATCAATGTTTCTAACTCTCTATCCCTCTCCCTTCCTCTCTGTAAAAAATCAATAAAATATATTTAAAAAAAAAATACTCCCAATGTAATGAATAAAAAAAAATACCATCACTACAAACTATTTAACACTCCCTCACCATGTGTATGACTTAACTTTGACCAAGTTTGCTTTTTCAACAGCAAAATAATAGTGGTATTAAGAGCTGTATTTTAGATCTAGAAAAAGCTAAAATTCCAACCATTCTCTCACTTCATTTAATTAAATGTACGAAAGAAAGTGCTGAATCCCACAAGGTAAAGCAAGACTGACACACCAAATGAAAACACATGAGAGAAGTCGAAGGCATTAAAGGCGGCTTATTATTTTCCTAATGTCCAGGTGAATAAGTACTCTGAAATAATATGGTAAAGCAGAGACAGCATGGAATTTGAAAGCATGTATACTAAGTTTAAGTATATCATGGTTACAAGAAAATAGCATTTCTGGATTTCAGTCCCCTCCTTAGGAAAAAAGAAACTTTCCAACTGACGGTATTCTTACAAAGTTTAAATGAAAAACAATATATGCAAAGTACCTAGCACAACACTAAACAGTCTGCTAAAGAGCAGAGCAGATGCATACTTGCTTCCTATTAAAGGGAAACAAAGTGTTAAATGCCAAACAGAGTTGAAGGTGGGCAAGTCCACCTTACCCTTTTCTTTTTTAATATATATTTTATTGAGTTTTTACAGAGAGGAAAGGAGAGAGATAGAGTTAGAAACATCGATGAGAGAGAAACATTGATGAGCTGCCTCCTGCACACCCCCTACTGGGGATGTGCCCGCAACCCAGGTACATGCCCTTGACCGGAATCGAACCTGGGACCTTTCAGTCTGCAGGCCTATGCTCTATCCACTGAGCCAAACCGGTTTCAGCCACCTTACCCTTTACATTGAGGAACTGCACGGGCTCCTCTCCTGTACTTCAGTGTACAATTTATTCAGCATCTAAAACCTAACAAAAACAGGATCCCTTGGAAGAAAATAAAAAAGCACCCCCTTTGGCAGTCCCTGAAAGCAGTTAGGTACTTATACAGAGGGGAATAAACAGTTCTTCTTAGATGTTTTCCAAGCCCACAGCAGGACTTCTGTTAGCCTAACTTACCTACTAAGGTAAAGTTACTCTCCAAAAGCTCTCTATGAGAGTTAAACCAGGCCTGAGCAAGGCGACTGTTTTTATTCTTCCCAATGATATAGTTCATGATGTAGGCGAGCAGACCAGTCACCATCAAAATTTCTAGATAATAACTCTCCCAACTGTTCTGGAGGTGTGCAGGAACCTAAAGAAAAACAATTATTCCATTTAACATTAGTTGAGGCTGACTCATGGAATGAAGGACAATGAAAAAAACCCATAAACAGAGTAGATACTTTAAATAACTGTCACTAAATATGATTATACTTTGAAAAACATGCCCATTTTGATTTTCCAGGCTGGCTTTGTAAAAGACTCTTTTTTTTTTTTTAAATATATATTTTATTGAGTTCTCACAGAGAGGAAAGGAGAGAGATAGTTAGAAACATCGATGAGAGAGAAACATCGACCAGCTGCCTCCTGCACACTCCCCACTGGGGATGTGCCCACAACCAAGGTACATGCCCTTGACCGGAATCGAACCGGGGCCCCTTCAGTCCGCAGGCCGACGCTCTATCCACTGAGCCAAACCGGTTTCGGCTGTAAAAGACTCTTTAAGGAAAGTTGAAGACAGTCAAGTAGGATAAAAGGATGGAAAGCCCTTTGTATTAAACTTGATTCTGACTCCCACCCCAAAATAAATCCAATGGCTGTCATCTTCATCATTCCTTAATAAATAAACTATGAGGACTAGAACAAAAACACAGGGATTGCCTCTATAGGTGTGGAGTTTTATGAGAAGAATTGATGTCAAACTCTTTAACAGCTACCACTATTATATCAACACCAGCTACATGTCACTAATTATATTTCTGGGATTAATAACAGTAAGATATTTTGTTGGTTAGTTTGGAATTTAGAATCCTGTATACCTACATCAACAATTGTTATTGGGTCTTTATTTTTGCTAGAAGAAGTATCTGGTTTGTCTTCATAACCTTCAAATTCTTCATCATCATATGGCTCACCCTCGGTATCTCCCTCCTACAAAAATGAGGCAGCAATCTGTTTTTCTCTACACATGTCACAAGCAATTATATCTTTCTTGTAGGCAATAATTGTAGAGGAAAATAGAACATGTTAGCAACAAGTACAGAACACAGAGATATTACATGTTTTTAACAAATGACTCTCCAATCCTCTTGAACCCTGAGTTCAAAATGATATAATTCTCATCCACACATAGAATCCATCCTCTATCACTTCCAACCCCCCCACCCCATGCTTTCCAAAGAGGAGAAAGACAATTCATTTTTCCATCAATGCGAAAGGTGGGAAAACACCACAAAACATTTAGAAGAACTCCACATACTAAACAAAATAAAGATACCAGAGAGTAAACGTCTCCCTAGACCTGGGTTTTACTTTTAAATTCTGGGGAAAGTGCTAGTTAAAAATTTTCCCATCCTTCCAATTTCCCCCAAAATCAGTAAAAACTCACCTGGGTATCTGCATCTTCAAAATCTCCTTCTTGGTTTTCATCCTGCCCTTCTAACTCCACAGTGGTCTCGTCTTCATCATCTTCAGTGGTAATCACCCGTTGAGGAGATTCAGTAACAGAATCTTCTGTGACATCTTCAAATTCAGCAAAGTCATTATCATCATACTCTACTATGTCTTCCTCATCCTCAAAATCATCAAACTTAGCTTCAGAGACACTCCCGAACACCAAAAGGACAACACAGAAAGCAAGGAAGACTTTCATGGCACCTTAAAAAAAAACACACAAAACCTAAATGGACTGCTACTCTATACACTGATCAAATTTGGAAACAAAAGATATGTCTATGACACTCTCCTACTTTTCTCTTAATATTATTCATTTTAGAAAGCATCACAAAAAACAATGAGGTGGGGGTAAAGAGGCCTAGGTTCTCATCTGGATTCTGTCACTAATTATCTGTAATATCTTTTACACTGTGCATTCAGTAAGCATTTTTTGAAAAACTTTATATAGGAACTGGGGAGGGATATAATAAGAATGAGATGCAACTACCTATCTATTGGTGGTAATGAAAACAATACATGAGCAAAATAAATGAACAAACAAAATAGAAACAGACTCCTAGATTTACAGAATAGACTGATACTTGCCAGAGCCTGCGGGGGTGAGGGGGTAGGGGTGGAGTATAGAGGAGGGGATTGGGAGTTGGGCCTGAGGGAAAAAGTGAAGGGATTAAGAACTACAAATTGGTAGTCACAAAAATAGTCATGGGGATGTAAAGTACAGCATAGGGAATATACTCAATAATCCTATATAATAAAAATGTAATATGCTAAGTGTCCGACTGATCTGTCAAACTTTTGGTCAACACCTCAACCAGTTGCTATGATGCAGACTGACCACCAGAGGGCAGACGCTCCAACGGTTGGTTAGCTTGCTGCTGGGGTCTGGCAATCGGGACTGGGCAAGAGGGCTGGACATGCCCTGGAGCCCTCCCGTGGTCCCTCCTGGGCCAGCTGACCCCCATCAGCCTCAATTGGGACTGGGCGATCACCAGCCAGGCAGAGGGACCCCAACCGTAATAACTAGTATTGTAATAACTATATATGGGCCAGGTGTGTACCTGAAATATTGGGGAGACCACTTTGTAAAGTATATTATTGTCTAACCACTATGCTGTACACCTGAAACTAACACAAAATAAAAAGTTTGTAAAACCTTTTAAAATGGGAAAAACCACTCTTAGTTCACAGGCTGTACAAAAATAGTCCACATCTCAGTCTGCAGATCCCTCCTCTACAACTATCTCAAAATCAACAGGTACCTGAATATCTCTATTTTTATATTCATATTAACCCCATTTTCCCAATCTTTCTTACTGAAAAAAAGCAAGATAACTAATTTCTCACTTTCTTTTCCCTTTGAAATCTAATCAGCCACCAAATCCTGGTATTTCCTTTGATTCTCAAAGCCACCCTAACCTAAGTTACCACCACCTGCCGAAGAACTGCAGTATTTTCCTAAATGGTCTCCCTTGTCTCAACTTTCCATAAAAATCATGGCCATTTTTCTAAAATGCAACTTTTGCTACATAAGGATTCAATAACCATCAAAAGCTAAGCAAGTCCTGCAGAATAATATAAGAACTCTGGCTTTTACTGCTTTTCATAAAATGATCCTACCATATCTAATAAATGTACCTTCACTGAACATACTACCATGTCAGATATTAAGCCAAGAGAGTAAAACATGACTCCTGAATAATTGTAAATTTGCACAAGAATTCAGCTTCAAGGATATGTGTTACAGTATTACTTATAGTAGTGGAAAATTTGAAATTGTTTGGTTAAACCATGGATATATACAAAAAGCAAATTTACTTTTTGTCCATTAAAAATTGTTACAAATGAAGTTAGAATCCATATTATTTTAGAAGCGAATACTGTAAACAAAATAGTTTGGAAGGATGTATATACATCTACATATAAATAATAATTACTTTGTATGGTAGGACTATGGGCATTTTGCCTTATTTTTCTTTATGTTTTCTAATTTTCCTATGATAAAAAGTTCTTTGAAAATTTAAAAGCATGGTTTCTGCATGCAAGAACAGGCCCTGCAGATGGAAGAATAGTTATGCATAAAGGCCTAAAATAACATATTGTAGGAGTTTGATAGGATGTTGGATTTATAGACTCAAGAGGGGGAAATGAGGCTGGAAAAGCCAACAGGGACCAGATCATAATGATCTTTACTTAAATACCACACGAATAAGTTTGAATAATTAGAATCAACTAAAGAATTTAAGTAGGAGAATGACACTATCTCTGACAGCTCATACACAGGGTGAACTGGAAAAGGACACCTGAAGCAGGAAAAATTAAGTGGTTGAAATAATTAGATAAAAAAACAAAACGGCCCTAGCTGATTTGGCTCAGTGGAAGGAGCATCAGCCTGTGGACTGATGGGTCCCAGGTTCGATTCCGGTCAATGGCATATGCCTGGGTTGTGGGCCCTATCCCCAGTGGAGGGCGTGCAGGCGGCAGCCGATCGATCGTTCTTTCTCAGCATTGATGTTTCTATCTCTCTTTCCTTCTCCCTTCCTCTCTAAAATCAAAATATATTTTTTTTAAAGAAAAAAGCACACGATTGAACTGGCAGTGGTATTGGGAATGAACAAGAAAACAGATCTGACAGATTTAAGACATACTTATCAGCATTGCCCTATCAGCATGGCTCAGTGGTTGACCATCAACATATGAACCAGGAGGTCACAGTTCGACTCCTGGTCAAGGCACATTCCTGGGTTGCGGGCTCAGGCCTACACCGGCAGCCGGACATCCCTCTCACAATCCGGACAGCTGGCGCCTAACCACTCACCTACCTGCCTGCCTGATTGCCCTTAACTACTCTCCCCTGCGGGCCTGATTGTCCATCTATCTGGTCTAATTAGCATATTACCCTTTTATTAGTATAGATAGTCAAAAGTAGAAGACAAATGAAAAATAGCAAGCATTTGGTATAGTTAGATTTGGTTTAATGTCAGCTCTACCATTTGCCAACCATATGATCTTGGGTTAATTACTGAAAATTTCCTGGTCCCCACTTACAAAAAAGAGATACCACTGCATCACAGGGCTGTAGTGTGGGCAGTACAGACTTGTGCCTGGCACACAGAAGGTACGCAATAAATATTAGGTCCCATTACTTCCTTCCCCTGTGCCTTATGAACACTCTTTAAGATTTAAAAACTTCGTTTTTAGTGTTTTTCTTTTCAGATCTGGTTTAAACTCTTTCAAGTAGAAGCAAATAAAAGTTAACACTGACAGTCAATTGCCTGCCAAAAGGTCTGATCATTTCAAGCTGGATTTCCACGTAGAATGTTCACACCATAGAAGCATTTCTAAGATAACTCAGCACTGTAACATAGAGCCTTCTAGGTTATTTAGGTTAAAATTATCCAAGCCATTTGTGCCTTGGCCTTCCCTTTCAGGTCTCTCTGCTCCACCTGTCAATTCATTTCTCAATTGCACAATTCCCTGCCGGGCCACCAGTCCTGAATGAGACGCCTGGGGCAGGGAACACAAACCCTAACAAGTCTGGTTTCATTACCTCCTGCAAGCTCACTCGGTAGCCTCTCACAGGTTGGGTCTGGACTTACAAAACCAGCGGGGAATAAGTGGGGGAAATCATTACTTGTTCCAGTGGTTCTGAACATTCTGGCCCTTTAAATACAGTTCCTCATGTTGCAACCCAACCATAACATTATTTTCGTTGCTACTTCGTAACTGTAATGTTGCCATTGTTATGAATCGTAATGTAAATATCTGACGTGCAGGATGGTCTTAGGCGACCCCTGTGAAAGGGTCGTTCGACCGCCAGAGGGGTCAACCGCTGGATAGCCTTTCTGACAATGGCCAGACTTTGGGAAGTCACGCACACATTGAATGAAAACGCGTTTTGTGTTAGAACCCTACCGGGAGGACCAGTCAGAGGTGGCTGCTTCTGTCAAACCACCAGGGTCCATTCCCCACTATGGAGAATCAATGCATCCTGACATCTGGACTCCATTCTTCCTGCTACATACTGTAAGCTTCCTCCACCTTTGCCCTTCGGGTTGGCATCTGCTCACGGATCTGTGGGGAAGTGCCGCAGAACCGTTCAAAATCACCCCAATCCGGAAGCCCCACAGAACATGGGCCTTGGAGTGGGCGAAGCTTGCTTGTGTGGTTTCAGAAAGTCGGGAGAAGTGAGAAGGAACGGCGGGGGCCGGTGCATGTCACCAGAGGCCTGACGTAGGGGGGTGGGTCGGAAACCGGACCGGGCTAGGCCACGCAACTCAGAGAGCGACCACTGGGACTGGCCCGGCCCTCACCGACTCACACGCCATGGCCCGCTTCCTACCTGTACCGGGGCTAGAAGCCGGCTCAGTGCTCCTGCGTCTGCCACCTCTACCCCACGGGCCTCGCGGCCTGGCCGCCGCCTGCGCGGTCACCGCGGTTTTAGTGCCCCTGATGCCTCTAGGACACAGCAATACCCGGTAGCTCAGTCACGCCGCCCCACTCGTCACGTCGCCTCTGCCATCCGTTACGTAGACTGCGTGCGGCCCGTCCGCGCCTGCGCGCGGCGAAGGGGCGGGACGCAGCTTCCGGGACCGCGCGAGACCTCCCCCACCTACGCCCCACAGAGGTGAGGTGGGGCTGCTGGGAAAATTACATAATCTCGGCCTCGGGGCCGGAACTGCTCTCGCCAATCCCATCCCTCTCCGCTAGGATTCAGTCAGGTTGTCATCACGCTGAAGTGGTGCTCCGGAAGCTGAAGGTGGCCATGCTCCATGGAACCACGCGGCCCGAGGCACGCGGAGGGATGTTGCCCAGGTCGGATTTGCAAAGGACCAGCGTTTAGGGGATCGACGGTCTTATGTCTATGCGGCTTCCGCCCCAGCCCCTTTTCTTGGAATTTTTGGGCGGCTCCTCGTCATTGCTACTCTTTCTCCCCTCCTAGGCCCATCGCCTATACAGGCTATGGACACCCCTGACCCAGCAGCAGAACCCCGTCGAACGGCCTGAGAGGTCTGCAAGGCATTCTGGAGCATTAAGGCCAGGAGCCCGCGGCGCTTTCCGGGAATCGCAGACCCAGGCCCCGCCCTTCGGCCCGCGCTCTGCATTGCGCATGTCAGGTGTGTGCTCCCCTCCCCCAATCAGCAACGGGTCGAGTGGCGGCGGCGAAAGGGGCGGAGAAGGAGGAGCGCGGCGGGACGCGGCTTGGACCGCGCGTACTCCGGGACTTGGGACTCCGCGGCGGCGATTGTAGTTGCTGCCGCTACTGCAGCAGTTTTGCGCGAGGTGGGTCTGGACGCGAGGCCGCGACTCCTTGGTCGCCCCGGAGGCAACTGCGGGGCCTAGCGAAAGCCAGGGGACCGCGGCCTCAGTTAACAAAGAGTCGGCGGAGCCCCTGGGAAGACGGGGAGGGGCGGGAGTGCGGGCTGAGGCCTGGAGGGGTCCTTCCGAGCCGGGTCGCCCTCCCCGGCTCCCGCTTCTCCCGCAACTCCTACGGAGGCCCAGTTGGCGGCTTTCCGGAGGCAGCGCCCGCCCCCTCGACTACGGAAGAGATTTCCAAGTTGCCGAGCTCCGAGGCTGGGATGGCCACCGGGAGGATTCTGACCCTAGGCGGCAGCAGTTGGCGGGCGCAAGCCTCCAAATCGGGGGGATCCCATCGGCAAAAGTTGCCAAATCGGAAGACAGTAAATGACAAACTGGGTGATGTCTGTGCAGCCTTGAGTAGATGGTGATTAGCATCGCCGTCGTCACACAAACTTTTTTGCGGCCTACCCGATGAGAGTAAATAATTTATGTGGAGTTGCAAGCATACGTACCAATAATATAAAGAGAAACTACCTGCTAGTCGAGAGTTTGGGGGAAAATGATAGATTCCTTGTCACTTTGGTGAAGCATTCCCCTTTTGCCCCTCACTCCTGTAGGCTCCAGTTTCCTTTGGCTTTCTTGAATGTTGCTTTTTTTTGTAATGATGTTTCTGTATCTCTTCTCCCCGCTGTATATGCCTCGGAGTTCCTACAAGGCAGAGATTATTTCTTAGTCACTGTAACTTTTCAGAGCCAAGCCCAGTTTTGGCACATAGGAGGTGAGCAATAAGTGTTTCATACAAAAATTAACGTTCAGACTCTGAGCGGTGAAAAAAAGGTATATTGTGTTTTCCTGTACCTAGAAGGGGCATTATATGGCCTCATTTGCAATTCATGCATTTAAGAAGTATTCTTATTGATGCCTACTATGTGCCTATTCCTTAGTCCTGTTTTAGGCTCTGATGCCCCCCTCCACCGGCCCTCATGAAACTTACTTTTTTTTTTTTTGAAACTTACTTTCTAGTGGAGGGAAGCGAGACAAATAAATCTATAAATTATACCGTAAATCAGAAGATTATTAGTGCCTTAGGAAAAAATACAGCTGGGATGAAAGATGGGAAGATGTCGCATTTTGAAGTAGGGTGGTCAGGGATACAGATAACCTAATATTTAAGCAGATTGAAAGCAGGTGAGGGAGTGTGAGCCCAGCCAGTGTCTGGGGAAAGGAATGTTCTAGGCAGAGGTTAGCACCCGGTTACAGGCCTGGCAGAGGACCAGTTCGAAGACCAGTGTGCTGTAGCGCTGTGAGCAAAGGAGGGAGTGGTAGGAGATACGCTCAGGGGAGGAAAAGAAAAGAATTGGGGATGGGAGCAGAACTACTGGGACCTTTTAGGCTATTGTGAGGATTTCACTTTTGCTGTGCTGGAGATGGGAACCATCTGAGAGTTTTGAGCAGAGGAGTGAAAAGATCTGACTTAGATTCTATTGTAATAATTGAGTATAATTCATGGAGGAGTGCAGCTGTTTATATTTTAGTTTTTATCAAAATGATACTAATATAATCAGCTCTTATTTTCCTCTTTAAAAAAAATGACCTTAGGATATGTTTTTCACTGATTCCAGAGAGAGAAAAATGGATTGTTACCCCCTCAACCCCCCTCCCCCATGCACCCAGAACCAGGAATCAAACTTTAACCCTTCTGTGGAACTAAGAGTGGCTTAAGGTTGAAGATTGGCATAGCATAAATCAAATTTAATACTAAAACTG